AAGGTTCCCAAAGGGGTAATGAAGGTAGTCTTCTCCATATTCTCTGGAGCCATTTTAATCTGGTTGTATCCGGAGAAACCATCCATGAAAGATAACATAGAGAATTGAGCCGTATTATCCACTAACACATCAATTTGCGATAGTGGGAAATCGTCTTTTGGACTGGCTCTATTTAGGTCTCTGTAGTCGACACACATCCTCACCTTACCATCTTTTTTAGGGACAAGTACAATGTCGACGACCCATTGAGGGTATTTCGATACTGCCAAGAATCTGGCATCAAGCTGCTTTTGCACTTCCTCTTTAATCTTAATGGCCATGTCGGGTCGAGTTCGTCTCATCTTCTGCTTTACAGGCGGATAATCTTCCTTGAGTGGCAATTTATGTACTACGATGTCAAAATCCAATCCAGGCATGTCTTGGTATGACCAAGCAAACACATTTGCGTACGCGCGTATGAGCTCGATCAGTCTTCTCTTCACACTCTCTTCTAGGGCAGCACCTACCTTGACTTCTTTCTTATCCTCTTCGGTTCCAAGATTAACAACTTCTACTGATTCTTGATGCGGTTGAATGATCTTCGATTCTTTCTTTAATAATCTTGCTAACTCCTCGGGAAGCTCACAATCCTCATCAGCGTGGTAGATTGGGTTATCAAAGTCATATAGAACTGTAGCAGTATCGTCATCAATGGAATCCGGGGTAGATCTGCTTGACGACCCGCAGTCTTTTAGGTGTTCCTTGCGAGGAGGGGGACTGACTACCCTGAGGGGAAGAAGACGAGCCACCAGATCGCTGGTCGGGACCAGGCATTTGTTGCACCTGGGAAACCCTTCCCTTTCCAGATTTCTTCACGCCCTTGCTGGCCGCCAACCTTTTCACATGCTCGACATCTCTCCTGCAAAAGAAAAATAAATAAAGTCAACAAAACAAACCAACAACGAACACGCAGACAAGGTCCAAGTGAAAAGTAAACCCATTACCTAAGAGGCGTAGGGCTTCCTCATCGGACTCACACTCAAGGAGGGCCCTGTATTAATCAAGCGTGACTCCGTAAGAATCTCCCCGTGCGAATCGAGGATAAAGTTCCCATTTGACATCACACACTTCGCATGGGTGAAACTAGCCACAAAAGTGACCAGCTTTTGGTAAGCCGCTCGGTCGTCGACATCCAGCGAGCCTGCTCGTACTATATAGTTATCCATGCCCTTGCATAAGTGTTCCTCCGTCCAAACCAGCGGAATCTTCGGAACTAAGATCTCCTCGGACTGCTCGTCCCTTTCTCGGACCCCAAGGTTAAAAAGTGAATCCACAACCGTATGGGTGACGAGCTTGACGACGTAATATCGATCCTTGAAAGCCCGAATGGAACCCATGTACGCCCGGAAGAGCCTCTTCGGCTACTTCAAGGACACCCAGTTGTGTCAACCATCGAACATTTATCTTTGGAGGTGGAAGATACAGAAGAAGAGGGTGAAAATGGCCCCGATATTAAGATGTTGACAGACGAGCTCGTACGCCCGCACGAACGCGATTGCATTGGGATGTAGTTGCGAGGGCGACAACCGAAGACAATAAAAAAATCCTACTTGGAAGTCGGTGAAGGGCAGATGCAATCCCGCATCTCGAAAGGTAAACTCATACATAGGGAACCTCATCCCCTTAAATGTCGAGCATAATTGGTGGTTTGCTCGCGATTTGTATACCTGCCAGTTTACAAGGGAAACCTCGAGACGCTCATCGACATTGGCATAAGCGTCGGACTCATCCACAATGAATCGAGAGGAGATGCTCAGGGGCTCCTCCCCGGTCCAGTTCGCGGCAGATCTTCTGCGCTCTTCGCCGGCCTGCGTAATCGGGGAGTCTGGGTCATCGTCAGTTTCAATAATTCCCTAGACCTAAGCAGCCATTTACACCTAAAAAGCAGAGGAAATAAGTGAATTCGACATTCAAAATCAAATCCACCCTTCCATCGTAAATCAAGTGAAAGGGTGAAGAGGGGAGACCCCCTACGGGCAGGGCCTCTCCCACCTCGACAGACGAAAGCGAACCCCTGAGACTTCGAGCACTTGTCGTCGGGAAGTTCATACGAACCTCTACTTCTTGATCTTATACGTTGAATCAATTGTGAGTACAGTGGGAAATGTGTTAAATAACTCGATGGAATCAAGATGAGTCCAAAATACATCTTGAATGTTTTTCCGTCGTCACGCACTATGTGCTTGGATACATAATGATTATCATCAAAAGGCTTCAATTGTTGCATTTCAAATCTTTAACCTCTTATCGTCTTGTTGTTTTGAGTGCAAAAATTGAACACTTGCATAATATTAGCGATACTTTATAGTTTTTTTTTTCCTTTTCAGAGTGGATAATATTTTTATGGGTTGAACCGTGTTCAATGTCTTGTCATGGACAAATTTCTTCTCTTTAGAATTCAAACGACATACAATTGGATGATCAACTAACTTGTGACTTAAAACATGATTATGTATACCACAAATCACATTAAATATCCATGTATTATTCGCTTGGAGGTATTTGTCCAACTTAAAAGGACACTCACATTTCTTGAATTCGGTGTCATTGCATTTCAACTTTCAAATAAGTTCTCTATACTTGCCACTTATTTTGCATCTCATTGTCACAAATATTTGTCTTTCATTAGAACCAAAATTTGACCTCCCGATAACAATGTCGAACCTTAATTTTGCAGTCTCTATGCAAACTCATTGAAGTATATGTTCGTGTATAACAAACTTCTATTTATTTGTAAGTTATTTTCCAACATCTATATGGACATCTCTTTGTTTAACATCCATAGATATAATAGTCTCGGAGAGAGCATCGGGGATAACATCAGTTTGCACCAACCACAACCAATCATAAAAGAAGACAATTCAAATTTAATATAAGAACAATCAGAATTTCAATTTTTTGACACGATGCGACAATCCAAATTTCAAAATCTGAACGCAACATACATATTTCAACAAAACAAACTAGGTGATCTAAAGCAATTATCAACGTAATACATGTATCTTATCTAAAATATCAGCTTCTTTTGAATTTTTGATGCAAAATACACAAGAATATTGTTTTAAAGTAAAAATCTTAAATGAGAATGGAAGGAGATTTTTGTAAATTTTTCATAAAATGGTGTTATGAGTAGGGGTGTGTGCATGGATACCATTTAATATGAACCAATTCATTTTTATGATTATGGTTTATAAACCAAACCATTTTTATGGTTATGGTTTATAAATCAAACCACTTGTTCTAAACCAGTTTAAAACCGGTTATAAATGGATTTTGATTTTAACCCAAATTATTTAGTTAAATTTAAATTTAATTTTTTTTAATTATATCAATTTTTAAATTTAAATATTTAGATTTTAATATATTTTTTCTTTAAAAATAAATATTAAAAAAATTAAGAAAAATTTAAAAAATTTAAAATAAAAAATTCTAAAATAAAAAATTTCAGCAGATTATATGAACTTAAAATGATAACTAATATTTATAATACATATATTTGTATATTTTAAAACCTCTATCTATTGGTGGAGAAATCTATAATATTTATAATTATTTTTTCAGAAAGTTTTAATGAACTTTGAGATTTATAAATGAAAACTAGAATCAAATCCGACAAGTCAAATTTTGGTATATTTCCTTGCACATGTTAAATCAAACTCGATGTCTTAAGATTTATATAATTAATTACTGAAAGTTCATATAATTAACTGATAAAAGTCCATATAATTTGTGAAGTATTAGTATACCATTTTAAATAGTTAGAGAATTTGTAAACAATTTTTTTATTATTTTAAAATACAAAATTTTGAATCTTTTGATTTAAAATATAAAATTAGTTTATAACGTCTATATGATAGAACATGAAAAGAGACAAAACCATATTAATTTAACAAATAATGAAATTTAGATAATCAATAACTAAATCACATGAAAACCGGTTTATATTTAAATAACAAAATGGATAACTAAATTTATATTTTAACATTTGATAAAAGTGAAACAATTTGGATACAAATTTGATTAACAATAACCAATTTTTTTCACCCCTACTTGTGAGAGTGGAGTGAAATTTGTTATCCTGATTGAAATTTCGGAGATTGTAATTCACGCAGTGTCCGGAGATTAAATTCCTGATATATTTTTAACATAAATGGATGTACTGCAGTGATGAAGTGATTTTGCTGTAAAATAGATGCGTATGAATTTTGAATTCTAGACGATAAGAATATTTTGGGGGGATTTTATAAGGTGGGATCACTAAATGAACAACACCCATTTTAGAAACTAACGTGACAAAAAGATATTATGATGTAAGTTGATTGCATCCATGTGAATTATTTTTATCAATACAGAATAATTAATGTCTAAAATAATCTTACATTTTGCAAGTAAAAAAGCGAAAAAAATCATGAATTAAATATGATATGATAAACATTACAAGTAGGTCTAACTAGAGGGAGTTGGCCAATGACCACCTTATTTAATTATCAAATTGGACAAAGAACCGGATACAAAAAGAATTTCTCCATAAATACAATAAAATCCCTATTTTGAATATTTTTCCAAAACTTTACATGCCTAAAAACAGAACCATAATTGATAAATTACTATATAGAATCTGTTATACATTGAAAAGGAGACAAGTCATAATCAAGGTTGCAAAAGGGTGGTTTCAAAAATCTCAATTTGATATAGATTTAACTAACTAAATTATCAACAAGACACTCTAACTAACATGTCAACTTCAATTAACAAAATACTAGTGAAGTGGACGCAAAGAAAAAAAAGTTAACAAATTATTACACTACCAATATCCATTACTAAGAGCCTTATACTAAATAGTTCACATGTTTGTTACTTGTATTAAATGGAGCTCTTTTTCTGGTCGCTTTGTATTCAAATATTCACTCATACACGTCTTGCCATTAATACTATCTTAGTTGGAAACTATTTAGCTTAGCATGGACAGAGAAGAAGGTGGAACATTGGCCATGGGACGTGCAGAGATTGATACTGGAGCTCCATTTAAGTCTGTTAAAGAAGCTGTTCTTTTGTTTGGAGAAAGAGTCTTAGTTGGAGAAATCTATGCCAACAAGCTCAAAGAGGTTCTTTCTACCTTTAACTTTTTGTATTCATGCATTCATTCATGTTTTTGTATATAGTTTGATTCATTTTCTTGTGATTATGCATGTAAAATGATGAAGATGCAAAATGAAGTAAGTGAGACTGGAAATGTACAACCCAAAGCTGGAGCATTGGCAGCCGAGCTAGAAGAAACAAAGCGAAAACTCGAGGGAGTGAAAGAAGAAGCTAACTTGTTGTCTCAATCTGCAAAGTCACTCGAGAAGGAACTTGAGCTGACAAAGAAAGAATTGGAAGAGTCGAAAGTAAGAGAGATGAAGTTGCTTCAAAGACGCGACGATCCAGAGACAAATGAAGAGATTAAGTTTATCGCCAACGCAACCAATGTGGAAATCAAGACACAAACTGATGACGATGATAACGAGGAAACAGTTCAAAAGAGAAGATATGTGAAATTTGCTAGTCCTCATGTTTTAGCTCAAGTTATTCCTAATAAAGATGAGTTACTTGGGAGACCTACTTCGGTTAAGAAAGGTAAGAAGAAGCCAGCATTGATGCCTTTGATAGGATGGCTTTTCTCAAAAAAGAAGGCAAGTTATGAAGTTGATCACTCTCCAAAAAGTTAAGATATCATCATTCATAAAATGTGTCTACCAACATGCATGTTATGATTAATAATTCTCTGTGGTTACTTTTCTCTGTTTTCCTAGCTATGTTCTTGTTTTGATAGTGAAACAAGGTCTCAGATTTTGCATATTTGTGACTCCTAGTTCCTTAATGAATATACAGTTAATACAAATATCTATCATTCATTGATGATATAAAAAAATTTGAGCATAAATGGCAAGTACTGCGTCTTTTCTTCTTCTAAAATTCCAGACTGTTGGTTTGTTCTACAGATAGAAATATATTCAAAACAATCTACAAAGATGATAAGCGTGTATATAATATATGTAACTATTTGTGACTAATCTTCCAAGTGTAACCCTACAGGGAAATCCTCCCAAAAGAATAATTTTAAGATAAAGAGATCATGTACATTCGTAACCAGAAGGCTATTTTGACTGTCCTTCCAACAAAGTCAGTTGCCTTCGTAGCTTAACAATGTGAGCTTGCACCTAACACGTTGCAAACATAGTCAGCACATAAATTCACAATACGTTTAAAAAGACTATAAGAATTTACTGTCCCTAAATATAGGACGAGTACGTCCCTAACTACAACATTGGGCGGGAAAAAAAAACGAACTACTCCATTGAGTTTCACCATTCGATAAAAGCCTCCTAGACTAGAAACAAGAAGAATGCAGACAAATACAAAAACAAACATACTACTCCATTAAGTTTCACCATCCAATAATAGCCTCCTAGACTCGAAACAATGAGAATGTAGACAAATACAAAAAAACAAACTACTGCATTAAGTTTCACCATCCAATAAAAGCCTCCTAAATACAAACAAGAAGAATGAAGACAAATACAATATGCATCTTGTTTGAGAAAAGACTGATATTGAGTAAATGCAAATTAGGAATGAATCAGGGAATTGATCAGCATTGTCAATTGCGGCTTGTGGAAAATAAAGGTCTGTTCAAATTCCACTTTACACATCTATTTGACAATAGATTGTACTAAAAAGCATATAGTGGAATCAGGGACGGAGCTACATACATCATTATGTAGGCCTATGCCCCCACTAATATTCTAAGATTGTATTAATATTAATTGATATATATATATATATATATATATATATATATATATATATATATATATATATATATATATATATATATATATATATATATATATATATATATATATATATATATATATATATATATATATATATATATATATATATATATATATATATATATATATATATATATATATATATATATATATATATATATATATATATATATATATATATATATATATATATATATATATATATATATATATATATATATATATATATATATATATATATATATATATATATATATATATATATATTGAATCAACAATGCCAGTTTAACACATAAACTAACACTATATTCTATAAAATATAATTCATTCAATTTTTTAATATGTAAATGTTACTTTGAAATGCGTGTTATATGCAATTAACTAATATATACAAGTAAGTTCAATAATAATATAATAGTATTTTGTGTCATGGAATAATTTTATATTTATTATTCATGTTGAATTCTCCAAAATTAAAATTTATTAGACAATATAAATTATTTATTGATATGATACATAGTTAAATATATTATTTATTGATATAATACATACTTAAATATATTTTAAACAAGACAATTGCTAGTTATAAACTCTAAAGTCAGAATTAAACCTTAAATCTTTTACTAGGGTAAAATATATTTTTATTTATAATTATTGTCATTACTTCTGAAAACTAAAAATCTATTATAACAATCATATATATAGTGTTGTATCGCCGCTATAACTTCTATTTAAGAACACTAGAATTGATTGTATTTATTTTCAGCTGCATGTAATAAAGTTATTTTAAGGAAGAAAAGAGACAAAATCTAACGCCGAAAGAAATAAATGACACAAACAATTCTCTAGCCATGAAACAGTGTATTCAAATAGAAAATTCATAATGTAACAAAGCAATCAGAACCTGTTGGCGGGCTGCAGCTAGTTTTAAGAGCTCATCAGCCTCCGAGAAGTTCAAGAACCATTGGCTCAGTGGATGATCTTTGGTGTCACCTCTTTGCTTGTCATTCATATGATCATGTGGTACTGCAGAAACCAGCACAAGGGATTATTACAAAGTTATTGACAGGGATAATGTAATAGTTGTAATAACAAATAACAATCAGAAGATTATCGAAAGGAATGTACCCGGGTTTGGTAAATTCAAACCAGGCGGTAGCCTAGGAACAACAACAGCAGCAGGATGATTCTGAATGCGTGCAAGAAACCCCTCCGAAGGTTCAGGAAAAACAACCTCGTTATAAGATTCAATGACAACAGGTTTCTTAGTAGTCTGCGGCCCAGACTCATCTTCAGGATATAATTTCAAATGGTGATACCTACGAGAACAAACAAAAAGTTGTTTTAAAAAATGCAATCTCCAAGTAATAACGCGCAAAGAACGAATGCGGCAAAGCAAGTAAATGAAGCTCACAAATCCAACTGTTTTTCACAAGCATCACTATGGAAAAAGAGGGTGATAGCTATCTCAAATTCACCCCAACCACATTCTGTTACTTCAAAAGGGGGTGACTCAACAACTCTTGTAGGATTATTGAAACTAGGATGCAACTGAAACACAACCCTCTTAATCACCGCACTAAGATCTTCATTAGAAGCTCCACGTACATAAACAGTCCATCTATGAGATTGAGCCCTAGTAACATCAAATTGATTAGATAAAAAATCACAACAAAAAACAAAATCAGAAAAAAAAGAAGTAAAAACACCATAAAAATCATAACTTACTCACTAGCCTTCCTGCCCAGATAAAATGCAACAGTCCCATAAACTATAGGGACACTAATTTCAACATCTTTAACTCTCTTGTTGACATTCTGAACCAAAAATACAATCTTTATTAGAAATTCAAAAATGCAAAATAATAAAGCAAGTGAAAAAAGAGGGCAAAATTAGGGTTGAAGTATTTTCAGTGATCAAAGCTGAAAACATGTATAAAGGTGTAACCTTTTTGTCGGTATCTTCAGAGGGTAAGGAAATTTTGAGGCGAGAAGGTTTGATAGCAGTGGAACCATCATCTGAGGGGTTTTCACCTTGTTGTCTCTTGAGTGGTAACGTTTGAGATTGAGACATTTGTTTGATTGAGAAATGGAGAAATTGGAGAAATGGGGTTTAGGGTTTTGTGCTGAGTATACAACAATGCAAGAAGATAATACTTTTCGTAGGCTTTTCTGTGTTTACTTTGATTTCTCAAGAAAAAGTGTTATGTAAAGTAGCCAAATTATGTCATGCACAAAATTAATAACGGGTGTATTGTGTAAAAAAAAAAAAGAAATTCCAACCTTTAAAATAAAAAGTTCCCATCATATTTATACTACACCTTTAACACCAAATCTTTCTCCCTCTCGATTGATCGGACCTCAACCATGAAAAAAAAAATTAACTTACACTCCCCTATCATCAGGAGATACTCATATTATACTATTCATCTTAAGAATTAGAGTCTACTCGTTATCACCGTAAAAACACTGATAACTTAGATTTCAATTGACCATAGAACCATCGCAATCTCATCTCCTGTTTTCATAAACTTCATTTCTTCTTTCTTTTAATCTGAAACCCTATCAACCAATCACCAAAAATCTTGTTATGAGCAACCCAAGAAGACTTTTGCAGAAGCGTTAGGCAATGTCTACGATATTCCAACAAGTCAGTTGTCGACTCCATGCATGAAAGGAGATAGACTATTTATTTCAATCCTAGAAGAAGAGTACATCTTGGGGCTAGACTCCCGCAAACACTACCTTCATGTAAGAGTTCTTTGGCCTAAAGGTTTACATCTGTTAACTATAGTTCAACTCAAAACTAAGTTATCTTCCTTATGAAACTCAATTGAGAAATGGGGCATCACTTCGCTCAGTAAGGGCTTATTCGAGTTTTCATTATCTAACTTAGAAGGTTTTAGGCGTGCTAGGTCTTTTCTTTCTTGATACCTTAACCCAAGAATTTTAAAATTATTCTCGTGGACAAGGGATTTTATCCCAAACAATGTTAATCATACCTCTATTCAAGTGTGGGTGATGATTCATGGTTTTTCTCAAGAGTATTGGCATCCCAAAATCATTTTTGCGATTGCAAGCAGTATTGGAACAATCATATGTATTGATTCTACATCTAAAATACCTTATATTAAAAGATCTTTTAGGCATTATGTCAGGGTGTTGGTGGATATTGAGCCGATGAATGAGATAAGAGATAAAATAATGGTTGAAAGAGTTGGTTATGCTTTCTTTGTAGAAATTGAATATAAGAAAATGTCAGGTCTTTGTTATTTTTGTAAAGCTTTAGGTCATTCTGACCTTAATTGTAGGAGAAAAGCTTTTAGAGAGGAAAAAGACACGGGAAGGAAAATATAACGTATTAATTTGAAGGATACAAATAAGCGAAAATTGAATGTGATTGATAATCATGACAAAGAATTGCAAAAGAAGACTATGATTGGAAAGTCTAATGGTGACGATAAAGATAATACATAGAAGAATAATGACATTGAAGTCATCCCTATTCTCACTTTAGTTGTCAATCCATAAGTTATCGAGAAAATAGAAGCAGAAAATTAAGCTCTGAAGATTCAGAGTTTGAAGATGCCACACAACTCATTTCAACCGATAACACAATTGAAGTTACAAAGAATGCTAATTTTCTCAAGAATTCTTGGGCGAACATGGCTAATGAAACAGAAAACACCTCTGAAGAAGATCCATTAAATATTGATCTGAATGATTTTCAACAGTTTTGAAATTCTGGTATCAGATATTAGATATTGAAGGTGATGTTCACGACACAAATATATGTTTAATAAGAACAAAGATAAACAAATAACAATTGTAAAGAGACACAACAATTGTTAACCCAGTTCGGTGAAAACACACCTACGTCTGCATCCACACAACAATTGTTTACCAAAATGTCTGCCAATCAAGAACTAACAAGGTTGTATCCAAGTACAAAAGAAAGAAGAGAAAAGGAAAACTAAATCATACTTTGTATTTAAAGTTAAATTCCTGAGTACCAGATTTAAAGTTGGTTCAAATAAGCCTTCCTTATGAAGTGCTTATTTTGGAATGTGAGGGGCTTGCCAATTCCCCGACGAGTTTGGCACTCTAAAATATCATGAAGTTTCATAAACTATACCTTTATATTTTAATGGAGCCTTGGTTGAATCACGCATGTTTCCCTCATGATTTTTGGGATAGGCTTGATCTAAAGGTGTTTGGAGTCAATGATAGAAGCAGTCAAGATCCTAATATTTGGTGCATTTGTAAGAAATCTTTATTCCCTCAAGTCCAAACTACCATTGACCAGTTAGTGGTTTTTTGCATCCTTATTGAGAACATTGATATCGTTTTTGCTTCTGTGTATGCATCCACCTGCTAAATCAAAAGAAGAGGTCTTTGGAGTGATTTATCGAGTGTTTTATCTAACCATATTATCCTCTGGTGTTTAGTGAGTGATTATAACTTTATTCTTCGGGGCCATGAGCAAAGAGGCAGCTATTTACCTTGGAGTACTCCCATGGAAGATTTCAAGGTCTGGAAAGATAACAATAGATTGATTGATATCATATTCAAAAGTTCTAGTTTCACATGGTACAATGGCAGGTCAGGTAGAGCTTTCGTTGAGAGAAAGTTGGATAGAGCATTTTGTAACAATAATTTGTTTGATTCTTGTCAAACTATGGTCCACACCACTTTTCCTAGATTGAGATCCGACCATCATCCCATATTTGTTGAAGCTTCTTTCACTCAATTAAAGGTTGCTACTCGGTTCAAGTTCTTGGAGATGTGGACACTTCATGAAAATTGCAGAGATTTTATTTCTGCCTCTTGGAAGTATTTATGGTTGGTTGCCCCGTGTATGTTTTGAGCAAAAAAAACTTCAAAACCTAAAGAAAAGTCTAAAGCAATGGAATATAGATATTTTTGGTAATATCCATGACAAATTGAATGACTCTCTGACAATGCTGGAAGGAATTCAAAAGAGGATTAATGTTTATGGTCCTGCCGATTCTCTTAGGTTTCAAGAAAAAGATGTCATCTTATAGTTGAAAAAACATTAGTGTATGCAAGAGGTTTTTTAGTCTAAGAATGCCATATTGCAATGACATGTTTCTGCTGACATGAAAACTGTTTTTTTTATAGGATGTCATGTTGGATTAATGATTTAATTAATCAAATATGGATTGACATAATTAGTTATTAATAAATTATATTATGGACAAATATACTAATTATTGATTATTTACTTGATTGGGTTTTGTGACTGAATGGACCGTGATGTGTCAGACCATCCAGTTAAGCCCAATGAGAGGATCGTTGAATTAATTATTTAATTAATCAAATATGGATTGACATGATTAATTATTAATAAATTATATTATGGTCAATTATTATAAAACACTAATTATATGGACTGACACAATTATGTGATGAGTTGGATCATTCAGTTAAGCCCAATGAGAGATCTTTGTCCTCAGTCGTTTAGTTGTTGTTTAGTTATTTAAGCGTTGTCCCATTAGACAATTAATATGCAGTGAAAATCCTAAACGGCAATGAGGATAGTAATCCTCTCATAATCAACGGTTGTTTCTCCAATCCTACCAGATACGCATTGTCATTCTTAACTACTCTCTAAAATAATATATACTATAATGTGTACCTACCAATTCTCAATTTTAATCTAAATATTAAATCTATCAATTGGTATCAGAGTGTTGTAGATATTTTTTTTATAGCTATTGTTTGAATTATAAGAATCATGAATTAGTGTATGGCTTATGTATGTTTTGAGTCCGGCAAATTAAATGATTAAATTTGATATATAATTTTATATAATTTGTATTGAATGTCGATTGAAGTTTTCTTTTAAAAATATTATTAATTTTTATATAGCGTATAGTCATGTCCTGGTTTTCTTTTATGGCTTTACGTTAATTTATATGAAAGTTGTAAATTATATATAAAAATATTCTCCCAGATAGTACCTGCAAGGTATGTTCGTATGGATTTGGATCCTCTCCTTTTTTATATATCCTGCCACCTCTCATGTTTCTAATCTAACGGTTCAGAATTTATAATGAATAATTAAATAAAAAAAATCATTTAATAGGAGAGATAAATGGATAAGTAATTTGTCTTTGTTATTTTTGGAATTTCTTCAACATTTTTATTTAATTATTCATTATAAATTCTGAACCGTTAGATTAGAAACATGAGAGATGGCAGGATATATAAAAAATAAGAAGATCCAAATCCATGTTCGTATGCATGTTATTTTAGATATTCAATTGTTAAGATAGTTGCATATACTTTGTTATCATAATATTGTTTCATATACATTTTAAAAGTTATGTTTTGTTAAATTGTATGAACTCTAATGTATGAATTTTATTTTGGTACATATTAAGAATTGAAAAATATATATATATATATATATATATATATATATATATATATATATATATATATATATATATATATATATATATATATATATATATATATATATATATATATATATATATATATATATATATATATATATATATATATATATATATATATATATATATATATATATATATATATATATATATATATATATCATATCCTTTGAGCATGTTACATATGATATGGTTATTCCTTAAATGATTAATCCAATATATACTGATCATATGGTTTTACATCATTATTATTGATTTGAGATGTACTTTATGGCTATTGTTTGAATCAAACTCTTGTTGTAAATTTCATTGTAAATTTGTACCAATTCTCATATTTTGCCTATATAAAAAGGGAATTTATCTACTTACATTTTATAACAATTTACTAGGAGTACTAGGAGTACACCAATCGTTCTCATGTATTTATATCCTTCACCTATTACACCCACATTGATTAGTTAAGTAATGAACTATGAACTCCTATACCAAATAATATAGAGGAGACTTGTACCAATTGTAAAAACTACATTTTGATGTAGAATTATGCATATATCCTAGCCAACGATCATGTAGTTGAATTTGATTTGGTTTCGCATCCATCAAATTGTCCAAGACGTCGCCAACCATATGA